CAAGTGTATTGGTGTACTATCGTTTTTTGTTCTAATTAGCGAGGTAAAGAGGTGATAGTATTAAACAATTCATTAGTACTTAGAGTGCGATTATTGCACTGGACTATCTTGAACGAGACTAACTTTAAAGACTAACCTGAATTGGCTTATGATGAACTAAGTAATATAAGAATAATAAAAACATTTGATAAAGCATATGACTAAACCACAAACTAAATTATATTTGAAATCCAAATATTTTTTTGTAACTTTTTAAACTTATGTTGTTATTATTATTAATCCACACATTTTTTTTTTCTGACACTCTCTTTCTACTCTCTCCAACTTTCCTTTCCTTTTATCTTCTTCTCCGCCGAATTTCATTTTCATCCAACTCTTCATCTCATGATTCTCGTCACTTCCTTTCTCTTCTTCGGATCATTCACCATCAGACTTTCCAATTGTTTGTTGGATGTCACTTAATTTCTTTTTTCCGTCAGTTAAATGAGCAAGAGGAAGGACAAGAAGCAAACCAAGAGTCGGAATCTTGATGGGCACTCTGCTTAAGTTAATCGAAACTTTTGAATTTCTATATTGAAGGCGTCAAGCTCAGTCGACGAAGTTGAGATATCTTGGATTTGGTCAAACAGAGGCGGTGAGAAGCAAACGAGACAGCTATGAGGCAGTGCAAAGCAGGTTAGATTACGAGGCGAAGAGACGAGACTGTCTTAGCAGTCCTCTACTTTTCGGAGGTCTCGCTAAGACCTTCTAGGGTGTTAGTCGACGCGAATCTCCTTTAATCTCATTAAACTTAGTTGTCACATAATTATTCATGGTTTACTAGTAATTACCCACTTATTGTGCACGTGTTGATCAATTGAAATATTTCCAAGTCATTTGTGGCATAAAGTTGATGAGTTTTTTGTGGTTCAAGTTCTCTTATGTCCAACTAAATTGGGTGAATGTTGCTTACTTTGACAATGTGCCAGCTGCAACATTTACCTTAAACTTATAAATGGAAACGCCTTTATTATTGATATTGAAGCTAACCCTACCACAGTAAACAACTTTCGTGACAAAAAAAATTTTGTTACGTAAAGCAAATTTCTGTTGCTAAAAAATTGGCGCGATGAAAACTTCATCGCACAGACGTTGTCACACAAAGGTCGTGTAGAAAACATTTGTGCGACGAAGACAAATAATATTGTCGTGCAAGGGCCTTTGCTTGTCGAAGTATACGTTCGTCGCCTCAAAGACAAGGGGGCAAAGTATATCGTCGTGTAAAAGTAAAGGGTGCGACAGTTTGTCGTCGCATTCAATTTAAGACTATGCGTGAAGACTAGTTTTGTCACATCTTGACCCAGGCTCCACCACATCCCAGGCTCGACTCCGCCATAGCACGATATTGTTTGCTTTGGGCCCGACCACACCCTCACGATTTTGTTTCTGGGAACTCACACGAGAACTTCCCAGTAGGTTACCCATCCTAGGATTGCTCTTGCCTGAACTTGCTTAACTTTGGAGTTCCGATGGAACCTGAAGCCAGTGAGTGCCTAGAAACAAAAACATGAGGGCGTGGTCGGGCCTAAAGCGGACAATATTGTGCTACGGCGGAGTCTAGCTCGGGATGTGATACCAAATTATTGTCACATCCCGACCCGGGCTTGACTCCGCCGTATCACGATATTGTCCGCATTGGGCCCCGACCATGCCCTCACGGTTTTGTTTCTGGGAAAACACATGAGAACTTCCTGGTGAGTCACCCATTATAGGATTACTCTTGCGCGAACTCACTTAATTTCGGAGTTTCGATGGAACCCGAAGTCAATGAGCTCTCAAAAAGCCTCGTGCTAAAGGGAGGTGAACATGTACATATGAGGCATAGAGGAGGGATCATTTCCCCCAAGTGATGTGGAATACAAGTAAGATCCTTTGATCCCGCACCTTTCCAAGTGGCGCCTGATCACTTCCGCCTGCTCAAGCTACACAGCACCTTCTGCATAACCATTGCTGGGGGCAAGTGCACCTTCCGACGATGAAGAAGGGTGGACACTGGTGACCTATAATAAAGACAAGGAAGCCAATACCATACGCCACATGACCAAAGGTGGAACAAGGGAGAGAGCACAGCCGCTGCAACAATAGGAAGCCCAAAAGGAGCATAAAAGCTGCTAAGCCAACGTACGTAAGGGAACCTGTAGAGTAAGAGCTGCGCATTCCCTTCTCCTTGCACGAGTACTTCCTAACGGTTTGCCAGGTTAGTGGATAAGGATGATGGTGTCACTTCCCACCAACACACCTAAATACAAATAGAAGCCATTTAATGAAACCCTACTAAAACGGTGGAATTTGGGAAAATAGACAGCGGATTCGGCACGTCGAGAAACCTAAAGAGGGACATCGGGTTCCCCCATGTGTCGTCATAGGGCAGTTGCTCGGAAGGTCACGCGCCACCACACACCGAGATGGATCGCCGAAAAGTTGGCTGAAAAAGTCTCCGATGCTGCCTTGGATGGCGATGGAGCACAGTACCCCTGGCGGAGGCGCGTGTGCTCCACGCGCCGACCATGATGCAGACAACGCGCAGGCCATGCGCCGACCCAAGAAACTAGAACTGGGTCCAAGTCAGTCGTATTCGTGCTTGGGTTGCTGGGTTTGGTCTAGGTTAGGGTTAATGGGTTGGGCTTAGGTTACATGGCTCGTAGGTTTCGGTCGAGTTAGTGGATTGGGCCCAGCAGTTGGGTTAGGCCGATTTTAGGTTGCGAGTCATGTTTGACCTAATTGGCTTGTGGGTCACCAAACCTAACGAAGGAGAAAGCCAGAAAAATGGTCGGGAATGCCCTGTAAGACCTTAGGATCTCGCCATAAAAATTGGGGAAACATCACTGCATCATTTCTGTCCTTAAATCCTACAAACGCAAGCCTCAATCTTCAAAATATTTCACAAACGATGAGAAATGATGAGAAAAGGGGATTCTCGAGACTTACCTTGGTCAGAAAAATCATGAAATCTTGCCAGGAAGTATGGCAATTTCGCCATACTATAGTTGCTACAGAGTTGACCGTTAAGGGAAAGAGAAAGGGAATAGAGGTGGCATTGGTTCACGTGGAAGGGATAATATCGACACCATTGTCGAAGCTGCCTGGTGACATAGGCTTGGCTCGGTGCCAGTGATCGTCGGAGTGGGGAGGCCAATGTTGCCTCGATGGTTCTCGAATAGTGAAGGTGAGTGAGAGAGAGAAAGAACTTACAGAAGGAGAGATGAGAAGGAGCTGAGGGGTAAGAGAGAGTGTGTCATAGGAAAGACAAAAAGAAAGAGAGGGAAAAGAGAGAGAGAGAGAGAGGTATATATATATATATATATATATATATAGTTCTAGAGAGGGAATCGGGAAAGACACCCCAGAAATGGGGGAGGTTGTCACATGTCAGTTCAGGGGTGGTCCAAAGTGGAAAATATCTTTACTTGGAAAATTAATAAAATGCCCCAATGTTGTGAATTCTGTAAAATCTTCGTTTTAGCTCCAAATTACATTCTGCTTGCACTCCATGCGTTCATAACGATGAGTACTACAAGGATACGACAAGGAAAAGAGTTTTATGCAACACGGCATAACGGTCAACAAAAGCCAACGTTTTTGCCTTGAAGGGCATTTTAGTAAATTCACATTTTAAAATTATAAAAATCGAAATATTTGGGGACGGGTCGTTATAGCTTTTATTAAGGTTTCAATTTGAGAGTTAGAGATACAAGGGTCAACAATATTAACAAAATTAGGTCTAGCACCAACTGAGAACCTTAGTTTGAAGTCCTGCACAAAAATTTGTTCTAGACCATGCCCAGGGTACCACTAAGTACCAAAGTTATCTTTAATTATGGAAATGGTAATAATCCTAAAGTTCACAATTTAAAACGTTTCCTAAATGCTAGTATACACAAATTAATAATTAAAAGTTAAAACTAAACATATTAACTTTAAACTAAAAAAATTCATAAAATAAATACAATTGCAGAAAATAGAATAAAATTGTAAAAATATTGAAAAATTGCAGAAATTTAAAAAAAAATTAGAACTTAAATTAACCCTAATGTAGAACCTAAATCCCCAACCCTAACCCCCTAGTCTAAAATGTTGAGAATGAGTCCCACATTAATGGGAGGAGGGATATTACATGAGCTTATAAGTAAGTTGGGCTATTCCCCATATTGCCAATTGGTTTTATGGTGGAACCTCAACTTCCTTCATGAAACTCCTAATTCAAACCATGTAATCAAAATTAATATGAAAAAAAAAAAATGGGGAAAAAATATGCTCAATCCACCCCCGCATGCAGCATCGACCCTCACCCCGCCACTGCACCACCCACCGTCACCCCGCCAACTTGCTGGAGACTAACAGGAATAATGAAGATGAGGAAGTTGATGGTGATGACTATGTAGGAAAATAAATTGATGCACCCGTTGAAATTCCAATCTTGAAAGATGAAATTGGAATAAAAAAAAAGATGGAGCACAGATAACCAAAGTGAAGGTGTCTCGAGTGGAGAAATATAAGAAAGAAGAAGAAAGTGAATTTAGCAAATCAACAATCAACCAAGATGAAGTTAAAGGACAAACTTGACATCGTGGGAGTTTGCAATGCAAGAAGAAAATTACGCCGACTTGATGTGTAAATAACAATGCGACTTGATGTGCAAGTCAACAATCCGCTATTCTTCGAACCTCAGACAAGAATTACACCTAATGGTAAGATAATTGTCGTACAAGTGATGAATAATAATGCAATTTGATTAGACCTAATTTGGGATTTCAACACTTTTTACATGGCTGCTATAACTACCATGGTAAACGATGCCAAAACCTTAAAGATGTGATAAGTGACACATGGCAGTATCTCAATTTTGGTTGACATGTCATATTATATGGTTGGGAATGGGTGTAATTGGTTGTAGGTAGTTAGATAGATAAAGAAGGGTAGCTTAATGAGTAAGGTGTGTAGTCATATAAAAGCATTGTAAACACTCTTCATAATTCATTCAATACAATCAGAGCATTTTCTCTATCTCTTAAGCACTTATGTTTGAGCTTTTCTCTTTCGAATCCCTTCTTATAGCTATGGATACTTCTGCTATCTTGGTATCAAAGTCGTCGGTCTGCTGTGGGTCTGCGAATGTTCTTGGGCTCGGTGATTCTGAATTTTTTTTTGCGGGCGTCCGTTGATTTTGTGGCTGCGGATCTGAGTGTGTTTTGATGTCGATCTCAAGTGATATGCTTCATTTCGTGCTTTGCTTGTTGAAAACTTTGGGCACGAAGCCATTTTTTGCATCTTGTTCAAGTTTTAGGGCACGAAGCCATTTTCTTGTTGAATTGTTAAGGCACGAAGCCATTTTCTTGTTGAATTGTTGAGGCACAAAGCCATTTTTCTGTTGTTCTTTTGGGCAATAAGCTATTCTCTGGTATTCTGCAATTCTTGGGTGTTAATTGTTGTTATCTCTGTGCAATACTTTTGACTCGTGAAAAATGTCTATTCCTGGTGTGAAAATTGAGGGGGTTTTGGAGATGTTGACAATTAAACTGAATGATCGTAATTTTTCTAAATGGGCTTTTCAGTTCAAATCAGTATTGAAAGGGTATAAGTTGTTTGATCACTTTGATGGATCTGCTTTATGTCCTCCAAAGTATGTCTTTCATATAGAAAATGGGGTTACTACAGAAGTCACAGAAGCTTTATTGGAGTGGGAATCTGTTGATATGGCTTTGTTACTTCTTGCTACCTTGTCTGATGAAGCCATTGAGCATGTTATTGGGTGCAGAACTGCACATGATGCTTGGTCTAGCTTACAAGATAGGTATGCCTCAGTGTCCAAGGCTAGAGTCAATACTCTAAAGACTGAGTTTCAAACTTTGCAGAAAGGAGGAGATTCAATTGATCAATTCTTGTCAAAGCTGAAGGCCATTAAGGAACAATTACTTAATGCTAGAGAAATTGTTTCGGATAATGATTTTATCTTGGCTGCTTTGTCTGGGTTACCTCGAGAATATTCTACTATTAGGACAATGATTCTTACTCGAGATACTTCTATCACATTGAGAGAGTTTCATGAGCAATTGGTTATTTGACCATGTTTGTTTTTTTTGTAGGGAATCGTCAAGACTTTGATGGCTAAAGTTGAGGATTATGATGCTATCGAATCATATCCCCCACTACTACCATCACAATAGACTTGTATTAGGATTTTATTGTACTTTGTTAATTTATGTGTACATTTTGAATATATTATATATATTGGATAATTTGATCACTATTTTTCATATGTAACTTTATTTTGAATATGTCAATTTAAATTAAAGCAATTAAAAAAATAAAATCATACAATTAAATTAAATTAAAAAAGTAAAAATTCAAAAAATCTTGTGCTACCAATTATTTCATTGTGCAACAATTAATATAACAGAAATAATAAAACAAAAAGTCAAAAACCTTGTGCGACAAAATATTTCGTCGCGCAAAATATTAAATTAATTTAATTTAACTAAAAACTTAAAAAACAAAAATCTTTGCGTGACGAAATATTTCGTCACACAAACCCTATCGTCACAAGCTTTGCACAACCAAAATTTCGTCGCGCAAGGTTTAGCGCAACGAAATTGTACTTTGCGCAACAAACTTATTTCGTCACGCAAAGTGCTTTTTGCAATAATGTGTATATATATATATAGACACATGTTCATGCATCACACAATTTTTGCTATGTGGAGTTTGTGAGTCAAAAAATTCGAAAAAAATTAGTCACGATTCCTAGCCACGTCGTCACTCCATGTCGAGCCGCACCAAGCCAGTAGCTTGTGCCAACGTCACTAACGATGTTTGTCTTGCATCAGCCGCCACTGTTTGGGCTTGCTATGTACTAGACCAAGCCTGATTGACTAGGTTCCTTGGTGTTGGGCTTCATGGTCGCGGCCTTTGACCCAAAAGCTAGCGTATGTTGGGCTTTTGCTCACCCCGCAACTTATGCCCCACTTCCAGCAGCTTTTATGTTGCTGGGCTCTTCCCAACACATGACCCATGCCCTGCAGCTATATCTGGGCTACCTAATATAACCACTTCCCCGAGGCCTAATAGGCCTGCAACCTTGTCCCATGTACTGCAACCAGCCTAAGTATGCTGGGCTACGTCCCTTTTTTCAACCCAATGCCATATTTTGGCATCCCCCACTTCTTAACCATACCCAAATATTTTTGGGATGTTTTTTTGGTAAATGATAATTAAGCTATAATTCAATTATCATTTGGTCTATCACCAACCAAAGCTAATATGACCCATCTGTCATTGTTTTTGCTTCCACGATCGACCCCTTTTGGTCCCGATCTATTGAGTTAATTAAAAGTGACCAGCAATCCATTAATCTAACAAGACATCCAAAATTATTGGCCCAAAAATCACTTTTGGACATTAACAATTCAATAATTTATTTTCTTCTTTGAACTATTCACATCCTTTCTTAGTCCTGAAGCGCTCACACTTAAGTTCCTGAAGCAACTTAAATCCACTACTCTTAAATCAGCATATTGTATTATGTGTTATTGCATGAACCTTCCTTTTATGAACTAACCGTTCATAAACTAAATTGAACCTATAGTTTCAAATATTCAATTTAAGGCCTTTGAACCTGAAGTTTTCATAAAACAATACACCCATGAAAGCCTGAATTTTTCATGAAAACCATGTCTTAAAACTCAAATGTTCTAACTTTGATGCTTATGGATGACTCATTCCCATAAACACCAATCACAATCTTATTCCCTCCAATCCAATGGATTGTCAAACCCTCACAAGTTTGATTTGAATAATTTGGACGTTTCTAACAGAAACCACTTTATGTAGATACAAGACGTGACACTCCACTTGATAATCAAGAAGTTGAGAAACCATTGAAGCCAATAATGGCATGGAAGAGCTAAATAAGCCTCTGCCATGATCTTCATTCAAAGACTTATGCCTGAAGTATTACTCAAAGAAGTACCTCTCGAACAATGATTCCATGGCTTTTTGGTTCAATCCTACGGATTGTCTAATCATGAAAGACATCACCAGAAGCACACCATGATTACGTCCATGAATGAGTACAATTTTGAAGATTATAAATCTGATAGAATTTCGACTCGAGAATACTTTTTCTTGTTCTTCCATGTTTATAACTCGCTTTTGAGGTAGCAATGTAGAAAGTGGAATTTTCTTGGATCTTATTACTACCACAATAGTGAGAGAAAGGTATAAACCTAGATTCGGCTGGAGTCTACCAAATGGTATAGACCCAATTCATCTGGAGTCTAGCAAATAGCTCAACCCAGTTCAATCAAAACCTATTGTATGGTGGTGTCTTGCTTTGGCAGGGATACACCGAAGAGCATGCTCTGTTTCAGCAAATATGCACCAAATGGTATTGCTTTGCTTCGGCAGAGCCTACCGAACCCAAGTTTGGGTTTGTCTCTCTCACAATCCAATTTCGAGTTTGTTTTTACAACATATGGTAGAATCAGTGCCTGCCAAGGTGTGGCATCAAGCCCGAAGCATGATCCTTGGCACCTAAGACCTAAAACTTTAAGAATATAGATAGTATTCCTGAACCTTAACCTTATAGAATCTACTTCTGTCTCGATGGAATTGATCATTGGTTATGCACCTATTCGTGTCTCTACCAATGTCGTTGAGGAGTACCATTCTCATAGTCAATATATGAAACTAATTTTGCTCCACCGAACATCGTTAGAAAAGCAGAATTTTGACATGGATAGTCTTGTTGGCCGAATCCCCTTAGTAAACCATTTACTTTGTGAACTTTTTTCTATGTTCTTGGATTCATGTTTGGTGTTTGTTTTAGTTATGGATAATCTTATTGATATTATCCTTGTATATGAGTTAATTGAATCATGTTTCTTAAAACATGTGACCAAATTCAATTAAATAGGTGATTATGTACGAATGTGGGAAAGTTAGTTGTCTGGATGAATGGGATACTACACACACTAATTTTATACCTAAATCACATCTCTAGCAACGACTTCAGGTCTATCCAACCTGATTAAGAGCATTGGCACGCTCCTCATTGTATGAATGGTACTAAATTACCATGTCAGAGACCTTATATTCTTCCCGTTCTGGAAGAACGTCATTAAGAATATTCGAGATAACAATGATCATGAATGAAACCACTGCAGAAAATAGAGTGGAATGTTTTTGCACCACTTCCAAAAATGAGCCTGAAGCTTTGCTTTGGGGCCAATGGGTTGCCTCTCAATTGGGAACATACCACATGTGGCAGGCCTGGAGCCGGGTGATTCGAGCAGTTTACTTGCCTTGGCATGACCTTTTGGGACACTTAGGTCGAACAATGATGCCACAACGCATCTCCTTACTCGAAGTAAGGATCTTGTGCCTATAAGCACACTTTGCCAAGCCTGCTCATTGGGGAAATTGATTTTCTAAAGCATCCCTCGCAAAGATACGAAATCACTATTTTTCATAGTGGATTCAAGGGAATATATGTGGACTAATCCAACCAAAATTCAAACCATATAAATACTTATGGTTTTGGTTGATGAATCGAAAAATTGGTTATATGTTTATCGACACACATTGCTGCTAAACCTCCTGGCCAATTTTAAGGGTTCACCACCCTACTTATCCTACAAAGTCTGGAAGACTGGATAATGTTTAAGAGTTTATATCGACAGTTTTCGATAAGTATTGCATGTTTTTTGGGTTTATAATTGAACATCGAATTCCTATGTTCACCCCAAATAGCCTTACAAAGTGATCATAAAGAGCAATTTCAATGATCGCCCGGACCTTAGTGAACTCACCAAGTTTTTGGTTTCTGCCTAGGGCTATGCAATCTTGTATGCAACTATGTTGGTCCACCTTAAGGCTCATTACTACCCAACCTATTTGACGTTACAGTTGGTTACTGGGTACGAACCTGAAGTTTCGTACTTACGTATTTGGGTGTGTATTTTATGTGCCAAGTTGCACCACCGCAACATACCAACATAGGTCCTCAAAGAAGGATGAGAATCTTTGTCGATTACGATTCTCCTTCACATTAGCTCTTTTAGAGCCCTTGCATGCGATCTCTGACTGCTCATTTGTAGATTATCACTTCAATGAGACAATCTTCCCACCGTTAGGGGGAGATAAGAATGTCAACATTCTTGTAGAATTGTGCGAATTTGCGTGGATTTTGCCCACTATGTCTCATCTCGATCCCCATACTGCACAAGTGTGATAAGTAAGTGCGATAAATTCTAGCTTTTAGAATGTTGCTCTAGACGCATTCCTCTGATCTAGCTAAAGTGACGAGATCATATACTAGCTGCAAACATGCTTGCAATGAATGAAATATTTATGAAAACTAATTCATTTGGGCAACATTTATGCATGCAATTAACAATTAAAAGGCAGAATCATGCTTGTACGCACTCAAAAGCAAAACTTTACACATGAAATTCAAGGCCTAGTAATCGTGGTGAACCAAGACTCAACTCAAATCGTAAAGAAAAAAGTTGAGAAACTTTTATACCTTTGAAGCACCTTTTTGCTTGGAAAAGGATATTCACCCATTTGAGGGCCTTCTTTCCTTAGTCTCCTTGCTCCTTGACTCCATGGATGTGGATGGAGGAACTTTGCTTCTTAGCTCCATGACTTATTGGATGGATGAAGGAATGGATTTTCGAAGTTCCCCAAAATAAGGAACCTATATGTCTCCACACCAAGGAAAGCGTTGAGGAAGAGATGTGTGACCTAGAGGAAGAAAGATTGCTAGCTATTTTCCTTTAGGGTGGCCGGCCTTTTAGAGAGAAAAATGAAAGCTTGTGTTCTCTCCAATTTCCCCAAAGAAAACCCTAAGGATGAAATGGCTATAAAGTTGCCTTTATACCACCTCACAATGTAGTGGCAAACTTGCAATTAAGGCAAGTTCACTACCCCTTTCTATGTGGCAGGCCATTGTAGGTTATTTAGGCTTTGAAGCCCTTTGTGTTTTCAAGTTGTCATACAACTTGAGTTATTGGACTTGACATTCAAATCCCATTGGGCCTTGAGGCCCAAAACTAACCTGAGGTCTATAACGAACTTATTCGTTTGATTAATTAACATATTAATTAATCCTAGCCATAAATAATTAAACCATTTAATTATCCTTACTCATCTCCGTTGTTTCTTCAATCTCTATCTTACTCGGTGTATGATCCATTAGGTTCCTTTTAGTAAGGCAGTGGACGATCATAACTCTTCAAATCGATTGTG